ACATTAAAACTCACAAGATGCTTTTCTGGAACTCATGAATACGGGTTTGACAATATTTTGAGACACAAGATTTAGGATGATATGTGAAATGATTTCAAGGCTAAAATTCACAATGGGCGAAAATAGGATCAAACGAGGACGAGTCATATTACAATACAAAAATTTTAAAGATTGTAACTCACTTAATATAACTTTAAATTAAGCAAAGTATGTGGTATTGGAAAGATTTTAAAATTTATTTTTCAAAAAAACAAATTTTACAACTAAATTCAATATATTTTGTGAGACATGAGTAAAAGAGTGACAAAGGTGAAAATAAACATATTGCAAAATCAATATTTTACTACTTCAAAAAGTCATGACTTTTTTAATAGAATTTTATTTTAAATGAATTAATTATTATTGGAAGGATGTTAGAGTGTATTTTAAAATGAGATATATTTCATATTAAAATGATCATTATTGTAAGAGATAGAATTAAAAAATGTGACCAAATGTCAAATTTGATTTTCTATGTAATTCACATTTCAAAACTTAGATTTTAAGTGTTTATAACTTTTTTTTAACTTAATTTTATTTTGAGTAAATAGACAAATTTGAAAATCCTATAGAGTTAATGATCAAAGTATTTCAAAAATTTTGAGATATAGATGACAAAAGATAAAAAATATGAGTTATAGAAAATTATATTTCACTATTAATTTAAGAATTAAAATGCATATTTTGGTTTGAAATATCTTGAGCTAGTCTTGTATATCTAAATCAATAAATTTAACATAGAAATTTTTAATATAAAGATAACATACCTGTCAATTCTAAGGTTATGATCCATCTAAACTTGTATAAATATCTTTAATCTTCTTAATCTCTTCTTAAATAATTATTTTTTTTAATGTTCTTCTATCTTGAGTATAGCATGTTAATGATAACTTTGGCTTCTTATTCTTCATGCTTACTCTTATTTTTATTTTAAACAACATTCAATAATATGTCGTGGAAATTAAATCCTTTAAAATTGAGACTAGAAAGCTAGATCAAGCCCTCTGCTCGAAGAGGGACAAGCTATAATCTTAGCTTTCGCTTACAACATTAGAACATATGAAAATAATTTTGTAAAAATTGGTTTAAACCTTAAAGCAAGGAAATATATTTTTTTCATTACTTTTCTTGTGGTAATTTCAGAAATTAATATGGAAAGGAAGTTGAGATAAAAGAAATTGAGGAATGCTATGTGATAGAATCAGTAAATGAGTGAACCTAACTCATATGAGCTCATACCTAAAAGTAGAGTCGGTAATTTAGGCTAAACTCGATGGGCCAGCTTGAATCGGCTCAAAAAATTTAGGATCAAGCCCAAAAAATATTAATTTTTTATTGTTCGAGCCAAGCCGATCGGGTCGGGCTTGGCCCGAATACTCGAATAAAAAAAATAAATTTTTTAAAAAAATATAAAATATGACAAATATTAATTAATTTTTTAAGTTTTATATCATTTTATACCAAAATACTATATAATAAGTGTTTTAATATAGTTATTTTTTTAAAAAAAATTAAAAATAGTTATATTTCATATTTTTATTATTTTTAATCAATAAAATATCTCAAAATAATATTTAAAATATATTTTAATATTAATTTTAATATTTTAAGACCCAATTTTTTAAAAAAAATTGAATCCTATAAATCATTTTCATATAAAAAATAATTTTATATTTTTTATAAATTAAGATAATTAATTTTAAAGTAAAAAAAATTAAAAATAATTTTAAAAATAAAATTTAGGTATATACGAATTTCTGACTCTACTACTAGATAAACATAATAAATAGAATAATATTTTTAAATTACTTAGTTATTGGCAATGCTAGATTTGGTTAAAAATAAAAGATAAACTAGAGTCAGAATCCCTTATATGTAAGAGTTAAACAATGTAAAAAGTTAAAGAAAAATGATTTCAAAAAAATAATAGTTTATTCATAATTAAATAATTTTTTTAAATAATATAATGACTGCAATTTTTTTATATTCATAAAAATGAAAAGTACAATTTACCTAAAATTTATTAAAAACTTTGAACTAATCGGGATAATAATTTTAAGTTAGTAGTCTAACTGTGATTGAATTGAGATCAATTTAATCATAATTAAAATAATATAATTTCATTAAAATATATAAAATATTTACATATGACTATGATAAAAGCAATATTTAAACAACTAAAACATTAATTTACAAGTAAAGAAAACATTCATGAATAAATTATACATAATACAACAAAATAATAACAAAGCTACTTAAATACAAAGTTAATAAGTTATTTTTTATTTCATTCTTTTAAAATTAAGATAATATTTTACGCTTAATAGAATTATTTAAAAATTAAAATTGGTTTAAAAAATAAAAAAAATACTTTTAAAAAGTTTTGGGTATTCAGGCTAGCCTGAATAAGCCCGAAGCCCGAAGATATTAGGATCGGGCTTAACTATATGAGCTTTTTTAAAAGGTCTAGGATACTTTAAGTCTGATCTGAATAAGTTCGGCCCGAATGAGCTTGGTCCACTCGAATTACCGGCTCTACCTAAAAGTTCTATTATGATATTATCTTAAAATTGATCATTTCTCTTCAAAACCCAACTCTTATTCATGATTGTGCCCACTGTCAGACTTGTAACCTTTTTTGTTTATTTTTAAATTTTTTTAAAATTTAATTTTTTTCATTATAATATTACATTTTCATTTTCTTTTGAATAGTACATGTTCATTTTCTAAAATACAAATTATAATATTTAAAAATTAAAAATAAGTTATGTAAATTTTAATTTTAAAGTATTAATACATTTTAAAGCCTAAATTTAATTTAAAAATTAAAAATCTCTCATTTTTCAAAGACAAAATTAACTACAGCCTAAACAGGTAGTTCAAATGCGAGTCCATTTTTAAAAACATAAATGAGCTGGGTTTGGAAGCCTTTTTTTAGATTAAAAAAATACTCTAATTTTTTCAAAACAAAACCTTAAAAAATGATTTTAAACAGATAGTCCAACAAGTCTGACACATTAGAGGCTCTAGCATGTGATGCCATAGCACCACCATCATGGTGCCATGAATCAGTAACAAGAAAACAATGATCATGCTTTCTGGTCTACAACACCATTGCAGACTAGAAACGCACATCTTCATCAAAACAAATGTAATTATTAATTTTTGAGGGTTTCTTTCATATAATTCAAAGGTTTTATTTTACTTATTTTAGACATGGAGATGGATTGAGGCTGGGAGATCTGAAAGATCGGCCCAAAGACAGAAATTCAGCACCGATTAATAGGTTTTCTCTTTTATTTTACTTTCATTATACATAGTTTTTATTTTGAGTTGGAAAAGTTGGCAAACTCATAAATTAAAACAAACTCAAAAAGATAAGATAAACTTGTAAGTTGTAACTAGACTCTTTACATGGCAAACTTGAAAGAGTTCATAACATAAACGATAAAACGTGAATAATTACTAAAGTTTGAGTCCAACTCTTAAAAAATCTTTTAAAATATATAATACTGCATTCAAAGTGTAATATGCAATAAAAAATTATTTAAATGTGATTTGAATTACACTTCTATCAGTATTGTAATTATGATTAATAGTATTTAATATAATAGTTAAATATCATATACATTGACAAAGATATAAGAGTAAATGGGTAAATTATCCCCTAAATTTTAGATTCAATATAGTATCATAGATCTTGAAAGTCATTTATTAGAAAAATTGTTCCCTCAACTTTTAAAAACAATGTAATTTAGTCTTTATTGTTCACAAAAGTTAACTTTAACTATTAGTTAATAAAAAAATAATAGAAAAACATCAAAATTACATAAAAGTACAAAAAAATAATAAAAGATTCAAAAATTACAAACATCAAAAATTATAGAAAATGATGTAAAAAAAATTACTTCCTTTTGCCATTTTCTATTCTTTTTTGATGAATTAACGATCAAATTTAATTTTTATCAATCACAAGATAACATCGTATTTTTTTAAAAGTTGAAAAAACAATCTACAAAAGAAATGAGTTTTAAGATCTATGGTGCTATTGGATTAAAAATTCAAAATGTAATTTGCTCATTTACCCTAAGCATAACTTTGTTTGTAGTATTTTACATGGTTATCTTTTTCTTTCATATCAATGATTTGGTTAACTTTTCATTAAAAAAAAAATGACTTGGTTGGCTTTAAAACTTGTGATAGCAAAAATCTATCTATATACCCCGTAAGTTAAAAAATATAATATATTTTTTTTGAGACAAGATGTTTAAAAAGATAATACGTTGAGTTTTTTAAAATATAATTAATGAAATTTTTTCAAAACTATCATTAATTACAGGTATAATTAATAAAATTTTTTAATTGAGATATTTTATTAAATAGAGATAAATATAGAAAGAGAGTATAAATTAAAAAAATTAACTCATGTAAAACTTCATTAAAAGTACTTCATGATATAACATGCTTATAGTATTGAATTAAAAAGAGTATTAGGTATCATCTCGTATGACATCCTATATTAATGTGTCCGTCAACCTGTGTACATTGCTTCTATGACAAATGGATGGCCAATTCCAATACATTGCATGTCCATTTGTCATCACATTTGGATCATTTTCATATTCTCTTTCAATATATCTCTTCATATTTAATTTCATCTATCCATTTAATTATCCATTTAGTTTACAATATCAATACTAATTATGACATTAAAATAAATATATTATTCATTTAATGAATACCATAAAGAAATAATATGATTTTATTTTAAAAACATTTTAGTGAATAATATATTCAAAAGCATTATGATATTATTCATTTAAGTGAATAGTTTAAATACTTTTAAAAATAAGATCATAAAACTTCTTTACGATATTCATTATAAATAAAATATTTATTTTAGTATCATAATTAACAATCTTACACTGTTATGAAGAGTTGTATTAAGGGAAGGTATGAGGAGACCCAAATCCCATGGAGATTATAATTTACTCAGCATGATGTACAAAAACTAATCTAGTTGATTATCCTTCTCCGATGCATTAAACCAATTCTAGGAGGTCTTGAAGAATTGTCTCTAAGAGAATGACAAGAGGAAGAAGCATGGACAAGCTTGTAAGACATCTCACCAGCACACTGACAGAGAACTTGTACAGAATTCAAGCAAAAGCCAAGCATCATAGTTATTACTCACCAAGCATGGTAGATATTATCACAATTCACAAAGCCAATGGATTGGCTAACACTAAAGGCACTAATTTAGAGCTTACTTGGATAATGTTTGGCACGTGAAAAAGTATTTTCTAGAAAGAAAATGAGAAACACATCTAGGAAGAAAAAATGATAGATGCATTTTTCATTTTCTTTTTAGAAGAAGCTTTTCCAAGTATCAAATATAATATTAAGATTATTAGCATTCATGTTTTAGGGAAAGATCAACACTAAAAATTGATAAAGTTATTCTCTTTCAAGCTTTCCACAGTCTCTTTGAGGCTCGTTTCCAGGGGAGTGAACTCAATCCCCAAAGTTCTTGCCTTTTCTTTGGAAACTTGATACACTGCCTGTAATGGCTCATCATTCTCACACCTATTAAGTTTATTGAGAAAGCAAGAAATGGGGTGAGCACAAATTTGAAACAAAAGCTTGAACTAAAGAGGCAATGCCAAGGTACAAATGAATGAGAAGATGTGACAACAATGAGAAATCTTAACAGTACATGTATAATATGCAGCCAGTCTCTGATGTTAGTGATAAGATTGAGCTATATTGTTTCATTTTTAATTTAAATGTTTTTTAGTTTTATTTTTTTGATACTGTTTATTTTTTAGGCTTCTTTTAGAGGATGTCATGTTCTCCTCTTTTGCAACCCTATTATTTCTGAATTTAAATTCTTTCCTAATCAATATGTATGTATGTATGTATGTATGTGACAATGATGATTTAATAATTACATTCACCTCATCTAAAGTAGTCAAGAGTTAATAAGACCTATATTCATCACCCCTCTAGCTTCATTTTCCTCTTATTTTATAAAACCTAAACCAATTTTCCTTCTTGTTTCATATTTTATACTAACCTCTCATAACTTTACATTTTCAAATACCTCGTCTTCCCTGATCTGTCTATAACATGTTAAACTAAGGTTAATAAGCGTTTTCAACAGAAAAGTCTGGTAAGTTTTAAGACGATCTAGGTGCATGTTTGATATATAGAAAAGTGTTTTTTAAAAAGAAAATAGAGAATGTATCTAGAAAGAAAATGAGATATATACATTTACTATATTCTTTCTAGAAAACACTTTTCTACTTACCAAATATTGTATAAAGTTTGTTTAACAATTGTTTTTATAGAAAAGTGGACTTATTGGAATAAGGTGAAGCCTAAGGGCTGTCAGCGAAAATTCTAAAAATCTCTGGAGAGCTAAACGCAATTGTTTATCAGCGCGCGTGGGGAGAGAGAGGGGTTTCAGCAGATGGAGATTTAATTAACTTACTTCTCTGGGAGTCGTAATGTTGGGTATAGCTCATGCAAAATCTTCACAATGTCAGAGTAGTGTGCCACTGTCTCAACCAAACAATACCTTCCACTAGCTGAAGAAATCTCAAATGCTTGAATATGAGCAATTGCAACATCTTTCACATGAATCCAGCCTAAAGAATAATTTAGAAATGTTTGCGCACCTGCATCAAACAAGCTTGAGAATATTCCGAGAAGCAAAATAAACAGTTTTCTCAAGCAGCCAAACCAAGAAATTCTTTAACGCATTCAAATCAGCCAACAACTCTCAAAATAATAATAAACTAATAAATAATTATAGGGAAACATAACTATTAATCCTTATAATTTTAGCGCATTTTGTTACCGTTCCCTGTACTTTTTTTCAATATTTCAAATCAGCCAACAACTCTCAAATTTGAAGGGAAAACAAATTAAAAACTATAAGTGTGTTAATAAAGTTTTAAAGATTAATTTGTAACTGGGAATGTTAGATGCCTACTCCACAACTTCAGAGAAAGTGTTAGAGATCACACTAAAAGCTTTTTTGTATCCCCCCCTTTTTTTTTTTTGTGGAATTCACTGTATCCTTTTAATTAGCATTATTCCTTCCTGATTTATATCCTTTTTATTTTGTTTCATGTATCTTGATTGCAATTAGTTTTTATTATACTTCAACTTAAATTTTGAATTAGCTAAGTGGGATTGATCAGGAGTTTTGTTCCCTATTCTTTATATGTCCACTTTCTCTGTTGACCATGATGATAAACAGACATTCAGAGACTCAGTTTCTCTGAATTTATACATCAAATCTGTACAAGGAAAGTTCTTCTTTTATTAAAAATATGAAATCATGATCGTTGCTATCTTAATTTGCTAATGTCAAGTGAAAAAGGAAAATAGCAAAGAGCATTACTGTTTTGGGTCTCTGATTTAGCACAATGGCATGGATTGTGATTCCAAAAATACATGTGGAATAAGTCAACATTGAGTCTTTGATTAAAATCATGATGTCTCTCATAATCCCTAGGCACATACCTTGTGACACCACATCAACATTTTGACACCAATTCCCTTTTCTATTAACTAGAGCCAGAACAAGCATTTTAGTTGAAAGATCAAACAAAACAGATGGAGATAAATTTTGACAGAGAATTTATTTTTGTACTCTATACAGCATGAACCTTATGAATCTATGGACATTACCATTTATTATGTTCAATATTGCAGCAGAACTTTCGTTAAGTGATGGTTGCAAGAGCGGTCCAATCACCACTGCTGGGTTGAGAGCCACCATGTCAATGTTGTTTTCTTTTGCAAATTTACAGGCAGCATCTTCAGCCAAAGTCTTGGAAAGTACATACCAGAGCTGAAAGCACAAAAACATCACCGGAAACTCAAAAGGTGTTATATCTGAATAAAAGCCTAATTACTTTGCTTCCCCCACCCCGGGGGAATGTTTTGCTCTGCATTGTGTCCATGATAATAGTCAAACAACTATCTTTACATATTTCTTACAGAAAAGATGTCTTCAATTTTAGTTTGAATGTATCCTACATTTCAAGTGAACGTAAGCAAACACTTCTTGTAAAGTCCACCTGCCAGAATAACAAAACATAAACGTACGCTATTCTGATAAGCCAATGTGCAAGACTTGCAAATGGCATTCATATTAAGAACATGGTATCTCAACTCTATGCACCATTAACTACAATCAATGTCAGTAATCATGAAATATAGTGCATACCTTATATTCCCTACAGATGTCTGGATTTGAAAACCAAGTCTCATCAACTACAACCTCAGGAGTTGTAGGCTTTCCATTATATAAAACTGAAGCAATGGAAGAGGTTAAAATAACTCGTTTCACAGATGGTGATTTCACACATGATTTGAGAACATTAAGAGTTCCTTTGACTGCTGGGTCAATTAATTCAGCCTGAAATGAAAGGCACAGCAGTTAGAATTTAGTAAGAAACCTTTTTTAACCAGACAACAAAATGGTAATTTAAAAGGCTGTCAGCCTTGTGAATAGGTTAAAGTTTAAACTCCCGAGAGCTTAACGAATTCCAAAGCCAAAAAAACAAAATCCTTAACACTAAATAGTTCATAGTCGATACAAAAATCTCAAAGTATCTCACTCTGAAGTACTCAAGAATTAACCACTTTGGATGTCAATCATGCCAAGATATTCCATATTGCACTTTACAGCCTATAGATCCCCACAATAATCAAGATAAGTCAATCTTAAATGAGCCTTACAGCTAAAGGCCAAGGTTATGACCATATCTTTGTTTCTAAAAGACGTTATGCTAACTAAAGAGGTAAAAAGCAGTAGCTAGCAGGTGTGACATGCCACTCTTTATTTTTATGGCCTAACAGTTAATGGAAAACTCAAAAGAAACTCTGTGATATTTGAAGTCTTAAAGTACAAGTGAACTTACTAGGTTATCCATACAAGAAATTGTTTTACTATATTTTTCCAAGGGCGCCAAAGAAAGGGGCAACTTTTGAAAGGGTCATTAAGACTGTTTTATGTATTTGGAAAAATGGTGCCTGCTTTGTTGGACAAAAATGATATGTTGAAGCTTTTGTTTTTCAGTTATTGGGCTTTTAATTTCTATGCAGGAATAGTTTCCTGATATGTCATCTAAAAATGGGCAGAAGATAATAATCAAAAGAAGATAAAACTGGTAGATAGATTCTTCAAACAAATTAAGCCATTCAAAAAGAATTCTTTGATGAAGTAGACTATATTGATGTCAACCTGTGGGTCTTTGACATTGAGAGCAACAGGAGATGCAGTATGAAAGACGCCCTCACACCCTTCAACAGCAGAGTCAAAGGAACCTTCTTCCAGAAGAGTTGCTTTAATCAACTGCAGCCTCTCCTTTGCTCCATCAAGTTTGAGCAAGTGATCTACCTTTTTTGGATCATCTGCAAGGAGTTACAAACCATCACTATCATGAAACTCAAAATGATGTTGAGTAGCAGATAAGAAACAACAAAATGGACCAACAAAGGTTAGTTTAGTTGGTAAGAATTTAGCCCATAACCCATAAGGTCATGGGTTCAAATTCTGCTGCCAATACGAGGATGTTCTTGGTGAGTGATTCATAACTATCCTTATGAACGCTTTTTGAGCTCAGAGCCTGGTTAGCCCTTGGAATCCAAAATTTTCAGTCACTCAAAACCATAACCCAAAATCATAATACAGCAAGCCAATGAAACAAGAAATTAGCTTTAGTATCCCACATGACACCAGCAAAAAATTTGAGTACGTTTCATGTCAAGTGTTCAATTCATACTCCTAATTCTCTCTTAAAACGAACAAATCAACATATCAGACTTCTCATTCTGTATAAATGGGTTGGGGGTAATTAAAGAGAGATCGTACTCACTCGGGTCACGAACAGTGCCCTTCACAGTATAACCACGAAGCAGAAGAAGCTTGACGATCCAGGAAGCAATAAACCCAGAAGCACCTGTCACGCACACCACCTTTCCTTTTCCTGTGTCGCTTTCCATTCTCTCTCGTTCTTCCTAGTCCAATGCTTGAACTTACGCAAGTCCTTGGCTTGGTTTTTATCTCCGGGCTTTGAATTGTACCCATCGCTTATAAAGGAAACCCGTGATCCTGCTGGCTTCAACGTATCATCTTCGTCAAAGCGTCGATTGAGACCTCCAACTTTGTTGACGGGTGTCTTCAATTGATTGCTCACAGTTTACAGATGCACAAACGGCATGGAGGAGACAAGGAGAGTTCCAATTTCATGCATGTGGTCGGCATTTGAGATTTTGAGCCCATAAGTTGCAGTAAATGGGAAAAACAATGTAGGTGTCTGATTTCTTTCTTTTCTTCAATATTTGTGGTCTGATCAAACGAGTTGGTTGAACTGAAAAGGTGGTGATTAAATTTTGGGAGGAAGGCACTTTGGACTTTGGACTGAAAAAAAAAAGTAATGATCAACCGCCACCACTACTGAAGTGGTAGTTGATAATTTTTTTTTTCCCTGTTTTGCTTTGTGATTTGTAATGTTTATAGTTTTGATTGAATTTTAATTCCTTTTTCTACCAAAAAAAAAGGATAATGATAGTTGAAAATAATGCGAAGTTATCCTTCAATCCTCATAATTTTACTTAATTTTTAATTGAAGTCCTTGCAATTTTCTTTAGTTATAACAATTGATGCTAGCAATGATTCCACTTATCCTTCTATCCAACTTGATGGAATGATCAAAATTCTCTTAGGTAATAATGTCCTAAATTTTTAAATATTGGTTCTAAAATCAATTATGTGGATTAAATTAAAGAATTAATTTGGAGGGTTGGTTGGTTGTTGTAAAATAGTATATGGCCATGCAATTGTGTTTTGCATGATGATTATGTGATTTAGATGATGAGAATGATTAATATTGTTGCTTGCATTTGTACAGCCTCACTAATATTATTTGTATTATACTATTATGCTTGCTTCTTGGAATATTGGCCATATGACCTTGTAATGTTTGTTTTTATTATTTTGTTGGTTTTGTTTCTAAGTTAAGGATTCAGTATTTTGATTGTTTGAATGTAACATCATCTAACTTTTGATTGCATAGTATTTATGTCTTCCCTTATTATTAATCTAGTGTGTTCATGAAAGGGAAGAAAGAAGTAGCATGTACCTTGGATTAATATTCCTATGTTACTTCGAGCCTATTTGGATTAATGTTTCGCCAACTAAAGTTTGCACAAACTACAATTTGTAAGCTAAAATTGGGGTAAATGTCAATTACTGTAATGTGATTTGTGTTTACATATTTTTTTGCAAAAAAAAATTAGTTTGACAAAAAGAAACATTTGAATGATATAATTAAAAAGTTTATCAGTGAAATGATAGTAAGGACATAAGTTTTATATAATATATATACACACACACACACACATATATATATATATTATAATTATATAATTTGGTAAATTTAAGAAAAAATATTAAATTTATAATTATGAATGTAAAAATAAAAAAGACAATATATTATTGAGAAAATATTAGTCAATACTAAAAGACTTAATTATATCTATGTAATGAATAAAAGTATATATAAACTACAAATCATAAAATGTCAAGTTTCTAAACTAACAGATAACTAATTGAATCTCATGTGCTCGACAAATCAATCTCTAATTATGTCACGAATACAGTTCATTGTCTTGAAGATGATTTAGTTAAATTTGACAAGAATGCTTCATTATCTTTATCCACTATTACACTTTCAACTTTAGCTTGGATGAATGCCATATTAGTTTTGGAATTTTACCTAATAAAATTTTATATAATCATCGTTGCGCAAACTATATGAGGTTGTGTTTGATACTTGAGTCTCGACATGTGCTATAAAGTTGCAAGCTTGTTCTTCCAAACTTCGAAAATCCTTTTGACAATGCACCTTAAACTTGCATGGTAATAGTTGAGGATTTATTATTATTTGCAAATCTCAATTCTCACCTGAAGTCTGGGAAGTGATAATGCTCACATCTATATGGACCAAGATATTCTTTTGGTGTTGGATAGCCAAAATTGAGCAAATAATATTTTCATAATAAATAATAGAATTGATGTGGAATCAATGCAAATATAAATGAGTTGTATTATTTTATATTGTGTATTTATAAAAATAATCAAGATATAATAAATATACCTTGAGTTGGATGTGAGAAATTCAAGGATGGAGTTGAGATAGCATTGTTAATCATGCGAGCATCATGTGCATTACTTTTCCATCCCGCTAAAACAAAAATAAAGCACATATCCCAATCACATATAGCCATAACATTTTATGTTATGTATCCCTTTTTTTCGATAAATTTAGGTTGCTCAGAAAGACTAACCACACATGGTATATAAGTGCCATCAATTGCTCTTATAACATCCTTGAAAAATAGCCAATATCAATTGTCTTTTTTTTTTTATTTTTATTTTTATTTTTGCATGACATTTACAAAACAGGATCCCTAGATAAATTAAGGCAAGAAGTTAATACCTTGTGAAAATGCCTATGTATAGTTTCTCTTGAATGTTGAAATCTTTCTTGTATCATATGTTTAGCTACTCCATGTCCAATTATGTGCAAGAACATTGCAACCATTTCTTTAACTCCCATGCACTTAGAACTCTTTAAACTATGTTCAACCAATTTAGGGCGCTATTGATGGAAGATATGTTTTTGTATTCAAAATACTTCATGACAACGTGTTGGATGGTCTTGCAAAATTTCTTACACCCATGAGTGACGTATTTGCTCACTAATTCTATGCAGTTCTTTACACACATAAGGCATCACATAGAGACTCAATAATGCACATATCTCTTCATGCTCTGTTATATCTTTCATGTAAAAGGAGAAGCAATTGAGATAGTTCATTTTGATTATTATTTGACTCTTCTTCCCGCAACCTTGCATCCACCTTGACATGAATTCATCATTCCAATTTGCCATGAATTCTTTAACCTATTAGTATGGTTAAATTCAAGTGTAAGCATCCTAAGTGACAAATAAATAAATAATATTTCATGATAACATACAGGTAAATAATTTAAGACTTGCATAATCACCCTCAAAAGAAACAACACCTTATAATCCAGAAAAAAAAAAAAAAGGAACATGCAATTAAGTCAAAAACAATAACATAGCATAATTTAAGACTTATCACAATAACAAACTAAAATACAAGTAAAGCATTCAAGGGGTTTCCCGAATGGCAGTGGGTTGTAAGCTTGATTCCTCAACCACTTCACCAACCTCTCTTAAGGTCCTCAAAGTGCAACAAACATCTATCGAGGAGGCTTGTACATTAAAAGTTGACAACATTGTCAATGTAAATCTGGATCATGAACAATTTCCTCCATGCCTTGAAGTTCAGCCATAACCTCACCAATTAATATCTCATTATTCATGATTTTGTTCACTGTATTTGTTCTAGCCTTAGATGCAATAGCTATCTTACTGCATCCACTATTTTTTAAAGGTAAGAAGTTTTTGCTTTTTGGTCCTATCAGACCCTATCATCATCTTTATCTTCCCATGAGTTTCTTCACCATTAGTCCCACTAGGTGCAATGTTTGGAGTTAAGTTCATGCCCAACAACTCATTAGTGATTCCTACACTATGTGCAATGTCCGCACCCACTATCTCTTCTTCACTATCCCTTGATTCTTCTTGTATGTCAATGGAGACACGGTATACATCATCCTCCTCACCCACTTGTCTTGGAAATTGGCTAAAAGATGGTGCCCACATATACTCTTTAGATGCTATCATATCCTTGAATAGAATGGTAATTCTCTTGCAAACATAAGTCCCTTATACCTATACTTTTCATATTTTGGATTTTCCTGGAAGTTTACAAGTAACCAATATCAAAGCCTATATAAAAAGAATGATACAACTTGTAACTTAGCATTAACCATTTCATACCAATTTTTTTAGCTCCCACTACTCATTTGGTGCCATCACTATATTTCTTTCATTGTCCCAACCTAAACCAGTCTCTTTAGAAAATAAATCATCCCACTCATTACAATCTTTCTTAAGGTCGTCCAACTTATCTTTTAGTTGCTTCTTGTCACAGTTTTTGCCTATTTTTCCATTAAAAGTGGCAACAATTGCAACCCATCTAGTTTTTGTGAAAGACTTTCCTTGACGTTGCTTCTTGTCTATTTGATCTTAGCATTCCTTTATGAAAATCTGTATCGCTATTACTTCCCATGTTGCTTTTCCTTTATTGTTTGACATGATTCTATGGACAGATGCACCTTATATATATAGATATATAAAAGAACCAAATGCATGTCTAGACCATATGTGAAAGATATAGATTTTATAAACAAGATAAGAAAAGCTCATTTATCTCCCGTAAGGGTGTTTAACTTATACCCGTTTCGATTGACCCAATTTTCTCTCGATTAAATCAGGATAGGTCCTGTCCCGATCTAAAAACAATAAAGACAAGACTTTATGGGATTGAATGAGAAAGAGATTCAAGACGAGATGGGACCGGACACAAGATTGCTCTTGGAATGTCCCAAGTCCCATCCCAAATATTATATATATATATATATATATTATCTTTTATTTTAAAAGTATACATTAAATATATTATTTATATTAATATAATTTGTTCTTATATTAATTATAATTTAAATAAACACAATTCTTAAAACTAAAAATTTTTTATATTGATAATTTTAATGATATAGAGTTGGCAATACAAGGTAATTTTTTTTTATAATTTCTTAATTATATTAATACAATTTATTATTATATCTATTTATTTAATAACTTTTATTTATATTATATTTCTTACTTTATTTTTGAAAGAGTAACTAACTTAACATATCTCAACTAAAGAAGAAGAATAATGACCTAATGTTGTGCTTAGCTTGTCTGTTATTGTTGCTCTTATAGCCTATGGATAATTTATAATTGTCATTACAATGTGCTACATATTTGTAGTTGTGATTGACATAATTTAATAATTAATTTTAAACTGTTGTAATTTATGTACTCGTGTTGTTTTGGTTTTAAACTCAATAAATTATGTCATTTAAAATTTTAATAAATGTTATTATCTTGACCTTTTTTCCCACATTGTTCACTTTATCAAAATAACAGGATGTCTGATCTTGTCTTGATTCCTTTTCAATTCCTAATGAAATAGGATAACTTTTAAGATAGGGTGAGACATAGAACAAAAATTTAGTCTCGGTCATTTTTTGGGATGGGACACGGGATAGGCATGTTTAAGTTCAGTCCTGTCCCATCCTATAAACACCCCTAATCTCATGTACTTTGTAACCAAAAAACACATACGCATAACATATATGAATCATTAATATAAATATTATATAATATAAAATTACATCATTGTTAAATCTTAAAACGGAAAATCATATCACTTTAGTGCATATTAATAAAAATACAACAACTAGGAAAACACAACAACATCACAGTAGCTAACAAACATGTTAAAAAAGAAAAAAAAATTAGAGTGAACTTGCATTTTATTTGGTTATAAAATTTAATAAAATGAAATTATATTAATAAATTACATTAAAAATTTATCTGAAAAACCCCTAAAAAAAACCATCCTTGCAGTCCCAAGCAAGCCTTAATTGAAGCTTTATGTATTCATCAACCATCCTCCTTCAAAACATGAAATTGAATAGATCTTGGCTCCATGATTTCATTATACACAAAATCCCCATTAAATAAAATCAATGAACCAATGGCAGAAAACAAATGAATCAACAAGACACCCAAAAACGATGAAGCAACAGAAGCTTATACAAATGAATTCCTAAAATCTAAGGTTGAAGAAATTATTAACTCTTACCAGGAAAAATGGTGAAGGCAAGTAGAAGGGAGGGAGAGACAGAGCACGGTGAGAGTGGGAAAGAGGCCATCAAGATATAGAGAGAGCACATAGGGATGAATATGGAAAGAGCTTGATTTCTGGGCGCTGAGAACGACTGAATGGGGGAATGGTAAATAATGATATAACAAATATTTTAAAAATGCATTGTTTGCTCCAATGGATAAAAGCCAAACGCAACTGATATAAAAGCTACAAAAGCTAGCTTTTAACTCAACTGTAGTTGTAGAAGAAAAGTCCACTTGCCAAGGACTTTTAGCCAAACATGTTTTTTCATCTTTAACTAGCTTTTAACTAGGCCGACTATAGTTTGGGCCAACCAAATGAGATGCCAAACAAGCACTTCATCTTTTTCATGTTTTGGAAATGGTAAGCTTTTGAAGCTTAGGTGGCCAAATTCGGTTATCATCTGTCTTTGCTTGGTTTGGAATCTTTTGTTTGTCCCTACTACAAATTGAAATGTGTCTAGCTATTAGTTCAGATGAAGGTTTGCTTAAGAAATACTTGCATGCACCGAAAGCACTAATCAGTTCAATTATAAATTTATAAGTCATCTCATTTTGAACGTAGTTGGCAGTTCCTTAATTTATGTTATTTTATTTTTAAATTATTTGGATGGAGAAGATATGGGAGAATTAACAATTAACAAATTAATTAAAAAAATTATTTACTTTATGAATTATATGTGTAAAATATAATAATATAAATTATTAAACAACCAACTAAAATAAGGTGAGTTGTTATATTCTAATTGACTAGTACATAAATGATGTGGAGTGCTTGATTCACTTAAAATGGTCCCGTGGCAACTTGATTTCGATTAATTTGGACTCTTCTTAAAATTCTCTCAACTTAACACAGGACAAGTCTGGAATACCAAATGCTCTACGCAAACAAAATTTGACGATTCTAACATTGAAGTTAGGGATCTAATCATGTGTCTTTATAGTTTAACTTGGAAAAGGTCATATGTTCAAATCTAGCATTGACATGTTTGCATGTATCATGTATGCATGGGTGTATAGGTCTCCCTTTCCTATGTGGAATAGTTTGGGTTTGGGTATTTCTTTTTTAAAAAAAATTAGTATTATGTATCAGTCAGCTCACATGTAATTGTGTAATTGTATTTTGTGGCTTTTAACCCAAATTGAAATTGATGTTACACGTATAAGTCTGTGAGAGAGATGTCCTGCTTCGGTCCACAGATCCCACATTGGTAGGCCCACTTCTTTTTCTCTCTGTTTACTTCAGACTCAGACAGTAACATAGGCTTGTTCCACCAGACTGTTACACGCAAAGCAAACCCTTTTCTTTTCTTTTTTTAAATTAAAAAAGGCAAGCAAAAGCTTGATTACAAAATAAAACTAAACAGTGTAAAAAAATAAGTCTATGTCGTCGATAACAGCAGAAGCACATTCAAGAAGAACAACATCATAGCAGAAGATTAAAACGTAGTAGTGAGCATTTCGAGCTAGCATATCAGCACATGTGATCCCTTTTCTATGAGAGTGATGAAGCTCAAAGTCAGAGAGAAAGATCAGAGATGATCGAAGGTCTTGAATTATCGACCACAACTGATGATCAAGATTGCCGTCTCTAGATATGAGATTTATAGCTTCCAAGGAGTTGAGAACATGCAAATTTTTAAGGCAAATTTGAACCCAGCATTTTCAAGAAAGCATATATTCCCTTCCGATCAAAATGTTGGTATTTTCTCTCAATATTAAACCAGAAATATAAACTACTTAACATTTGTAAAAAAATTCTCATTTAACTAATATTATATATGAATATAGATTCTTGTACATATGAATTTACAATTTTTTTCTCACTTATCGTAAATTGCAACTAAAAGTAAAATGAAAAAACAATATATTTTCATAGAAATAAAAATTTTATTGGTATGTAGATTATTATTAAAAGTTTTTTATATTTTAGGCTAGATGAAGTGGTATTGTAATCACAACCGAACAATGGGAAGTCACCACAGACATCAACTACATGATTACGGACATACTTCCTCGTATATATTTTGAGACTTATTCCCAGCCTATCATCATAGAGTATATGCCTCACTAGTCCTAGTAAACACAAGTTATTTCCTATCAAGTCCTATTTTTATACAAGCCTTTTATCACCAGCCTTGCCATCTGATCTGTATAACTGAACTTAAACAAGCAATGGAGCTATTTACATAAATAACACATGCTTAAGCATGTTGATCAACAATTATTCTTTTGAGAGAGAGAGAGATCACAGTTAAAATTTAAAAGGTAATAAAGTTCTTCTCTCTCAAGCTTTCTACAGTCTCCTTGAGACTCACTTCCAGCGGAATCAATTCAATTCCCAAGGTCTTGACCTTCCTTTTAGAAACTTGATAGTTTGGAATGAAGGGCTCATCATCTGCACACCTAACAAGTGGGAAACGAATACATGAAATCAGAACAAAATACTTGACCTTGAATAAATATATACATGGATACAAAGAAGCTGAGAGGTCAATCCATATTGGTTATTAAGAATTATGAGTGAATGACAATAATCGAGTCACTAACATCAGAATGATCAAAGAATAAACAAGATACGAGATGAAGCAATGTTCTCGTCTCTGAAAGCCATTTTTTTTGCTTCAAGTAAAGGCAATTTTTAGTTCTTCGAGCGAAAGAGTTCGTCTTAGACACAATTCAGAAGAAACAGGGATAAATATACTGCACATGTGAGGTTTCAAGAAATAAAGCTATAAATTCACAAGTGAATTCATTCATGAAAATATAATAACAATAATGACAAACTTACTTCTCAGGAAGTTGTAATGTTGGGAACAGCTCATGCAAAATCTTTACGAGTTCTGAGTTGTGCGCAACTCTCTCAACCAAATTGTATCTTCCACTAGCTGAAGGAATCTCAAAAGCCTGAATATGGGCATTTGCAACATCTTTTACATTGACCCATACTGTCCTATAGTTTTGAAATGTTTGACCTGCGTCAAACAAGTGAGGGATGAGGAGCAACACAATTCTTACCCAGGGATAAAAACAGAATATTTAACATGAATTTAATCCCAATATGAAATTAGAGGAAATATTTAAAAAAAAAAGGGAAGAAAGTGTTCAGATTATTATTGGTGGGTTTCTCTGTAAGATGAAACCATAGTTCTCAACCAGCACTAGGAAGTTTCCTTTTCTTCTACATACAATAAAGATTGGCAGTTCAATGAAATAGTCTCATCAACTACGGGATACAATTGTGTTACAATTTTTTCACCTTCGTTTTTTGGTTGGTGCATTCCTTTGCCGTGTTTTATTCATATAAAATACTAAATTATCCTTTAGCTCGAAAACATAATGCAGAAGTTAAAAACATCTGAAATATGATACAATTAACAACCAATTTTGATGATAATAATTTCAAGTCGTGGAAAAGAGAGAACATGGAAATTTCACGAAAATGGGTAAAAATATTGGCCAGCATAACATTTTAAAAAAATAATGTTTCCAAGATAATAAATTAAGTTGTGAAAAAGGATACCATAGAAATTTCAAGGAAGAAAAGTACGGATCAACATATAATAAAAACTTTTGTCTGCAAAAATTAAATATGTATGATAATGAAAACATGCAGGCACAATATTGACTAAGGCTAACTGAGTTTAGGCAGCCTATATAATAAAGAACTCTATAACCTCAGATAATAATGATCTAAGACTCACTCTAGACAAACATAAATTCCAAGTCCGTTAGGAGTTCCACTTCAATAGGTTTCTCAATGAAAGAGAAAATGGAGAAAAATATTCTCCGATTGTCATTCTCAAAATTGCAATAGGCACAGAGGAATATATACAATAAAACACCACACAGATAATAAATGTAGCCCCCAACTACCAACTAATACTAACTACAACAAATACAATATATTCTAACACTCCCCCTTGAGCAGGAGAATATATATTTTCCATTCCCAGCTTGACACTAACTTCTGAAAATATTCACCAGATAATTCCTTCGTAAGCACATCTGCCACTTGATCACCAGAAGGAATGTAGGGAGTAAAGATGAGACCGCTTTTTAGTTTCTCTTTGATAAAATGTCTGTCAATTTCAACATGCTTTGTCCAATCATGTTGAACATGATTATGAGCAATGTTGATAGCAGACTTGTTGTCACAGTAAAGTGTCATTGGGCCATCCCACTTAATTCTCAGATCTGATAAAATGATCTTTATCCATAATAACTCACAAGTTCCAAGTGCTATAGCTCTAAATTCAGCTTCAGCACTTGATCTAGACACCACATCTTGCTTCTTGCTTCTCCAAGTGATGAGATTTGAGCTCAGAAATGTACAATAGCCTGATGTAGACCTTCTATTGTCCATATCACCTCCACGATCTGCATTAGTATATGCATCAGTGATCAATCTTCTCCCCCTCTTGAGTAAAATACCTTTTCCTAGAGTACCCTTCAAGTACTCGAGTATTCAATAAACTGCATGAAGATGAAAGACTCTTTAAGATCATGCATAAACTGGCTTACTTGACTCACAGCATAGGAAATGTCAGGTTCGGTATGAGCTAAATAGATCAATTTCCCAACAAGTTTCTAATAGGATTCCTTATTGACAGGGGGCTCTAGAGGAGGAGGTTTGCTGGGCTTTTGATTTTGCTTCAATTTGCTAGGACACTTTCCTTCCTTACAAAGTCTATGATTTTGTTTAATTGGAGTCTCCATAGGTTTGCACCCTAGCTTCCCTTCTTCAGTGAGAAGGTCAAGAACATACTTTTGTTGGGATATGAAGATCCCATGCTTTGAATAAGCAACTGTGCAATACCCAAAAGATATTTCAATCTCCCTAAATCCTTCATTTGGAATTCCTCCATCAATTTACTTTGCAGAGACCGAATCCCTTCCAAATCATTTCTTGTTACTATAACATCATCAACATAAACAAGTAAAACTGTTACTCCCCCTAAAGTAGAATGTGTAGAATGTTTGATAAACAAAGTATGATCACTTTCACTCTGTTTGAACCCCATGTTAACTATGGCTTTTGTAAACCTTCCCAACCAAGCCCTTAGTGATTATTTCAATCCGTAAAGAGTCTTTTAACTTTGCAAACTGTACTAGAAGGAAGATGTGAATCAAATCCTGGGGAATCTCCATACAAATCTCTTCCTTTAAGTCACCATGTAAGAAAGCATTCTTCACATCAAACTGCAGTAATTCCCAATCATGGATAGCTGCCAAAGATGATAAAGTACCAAAAGCATTCATTTTTGCAACTGAAGCAAAAGTTTCTTTATAATCAACCCTATAGGTTTGAGTATATTCTTTGGCAACAAGCTAAGCTTTATAGTTGTCTAAGGAGCCATCAGAATTGTATTTTGGAGTAAAAACCCATGTACACCCGACAAGCTTTTTTCCCTCTCATAATTGAACTAGGTCATATGCATTGTTTTTCTCAAGTGCTTCCATCTCAACCTTCATAACCTTAACCCAGTTTTCATCTACTAATGCCTTGGAAAAGGATTGTGGTATTGAAATGGGATGAAGACCAATGAGAAAGGCTTTATGATTGCAAGACAATTTGTCATAGGAAAGAAATGAAGACATTGGGTATAAGGATCATTTAGTACAACTTCTAGTTCCTTAAGGCAATAGGTAGGTCAACTCAAGAAGTTCAAAATTATTACTAGGAACCTCTTGATTATCATAAACATCTTGGGAATTTGAAGTAATTTCAGCATTTTAAAGTGAATTAGGAGTTGCCTCAAAATTTCCAAGTACAGGTTCTGAAGTTTGCACAGGAGCCGGCTTAGGTTATTGAACTTGTGAAGGTTGAGATGTACTCTTGTTCTTCTAAGAGAAAACCTATAATAGATGAGTAACGTTAAGAGTTGATGGTGCTCCTAAAGACTCACTAGGAGAACTAGGAAGTTCACTAAGAAACAAATAATTATCTTGATCATCATTGAGAGGACTCTCCATTTTAAGAGAAGTATTGAAATAAGAGTAAGACTCAGAAAAAGTAACATCAACTGATACAAAAAATTTCCTAGAAGGAGGATGATAGCATTTGTATCCTTTTTGACTAGAGGTATACCAAACAAACCCATTTAAGAGCTCTAAGGTCAAGTTTGGTGCTTTGTTGAGAATGCACATGAACAAAAGCAACACACCCAAAAATCTCAGGTATGAGAGCATTTGATGCATGGAAATTAGGAAAAACTTGAGTAAGAATTTCCATAGGACTCTTTGAACCAAGGGCAGGGGTAGGGAGCCTATTAACATATGTGTTGCAGTAAAAAAAAATTTCTCCCCAATATTGTTTAGGAACATTGGTTTGAAACAATAAAGCTCTTTTAATATTAAGAAGGTGACTATTCTTTTTATCAGCAACCCCATTTTGTTGGGGAGTATTAACACAAGATGATTTGTATAGAAACTTATGATTTCAAAAAAAAAAAAAAAAATTGAATAAAGATTGAAAAAAATCTTTTGCATTGTCTAACCTGAACATTTGTATCCCAACACAGAATTGAGTTCTAATCACGTCATAAAAGGAGGGAAAAACCATGCTAACATCAAATTTTTGTTTCAGTGGATAAATCCAATCTACATGAGTGTAGTCAACAATAAAGGACAAGAAGTTCTTGCATTACTCATAAGATATGAAGATCGTTTATATTTTGCAAAATCACAAACATCACAATGAAAAGACCTTGACAGCTAAATCCTTGAACCAAGAAGGAAACATAGTTTTCAAAACACTACAGGAAGGATGATCCAGAGGGTGGTGATAAAGCCAAATATGATCTTCACTGGACTCAACTCTTTTTGATTGAAGAGAGGAGGAAGCCATCAAACCTTGGAGTTCACTGCATTCACTAGGCTCATCAAAAAAATAAAGATCATCCCTTTCCTTAACAAGTCTAATCATCTTAACTCATCTCTCACTCCTAAAAAAACACAAGATATAGAAGAGAAGAGAACATAGCTCATAGAGTTAGTCTTTTCACAAAGATAAGATTTGTGCAAAGTTTAGGACATGCAAGACATTTTTTAGGATAAGGTTATCACTCAACTAAACATCTCCCTGACCAGGCATAGTCGCTAAAATCCATCACCCCACATGATTTTCCTAGTACTAGGACACAAAGTTACAAGACCTGAAATTCTCGGAGGAATTTGTCAAATGATTTGAGGCTCTAGAATCAACAATCTAAGAATGAAGAGAATCCTTCTTTGAGGCAATAAAAACAGGTGAAAGCAAGATAGATGAATGTTGAAAGGAAACACTTTAGAACCCCAAATAATAGGTACCTATAGCACAAGTAAAAGCTCTGTCGAGTAACTCTAGCAAGGATCTCAAACTCTCTATCTCCCCTATAAGATCACCTTGTCTAGAGTTCCCCCTGGTAGAATTGGTGGCAACATGAGATTGCCCCTTCTTCATGTTCGAAGGCCTACTATACAGCTTCCAACACTTATCTCTAGTATGCCATGGTTTCTTACAAGAGGAGCACCAAATAGGCTCTTTGTTAGAGGTCTTTGATGAGTCTCCTTGTTTTTCATCATCACCAGGGTGATTGGCTATATTCTTTGAAACCAGGGCAGAACTTTCCATTGGTTGGGCTTCCATCATCACACCTCTATGACCTTCTTCTGCTAAGACAATAGCATGGTCTCATCGAAAGAAGGAATGTCTTCCCGACCAAGGATTTGAACTCTTACAACATCAAACTCAGCATTAGCCTTGTGAGATACTCAAAAACTCTATTTCTCAATGAAGTGTTTAAAAGTAGCACCATCTTCAGGATTTATCAAAGTAATGCATTGGTAATGATCTAACTCTTGCCAAAAGCTTTTCATAAGAGTAAAATATTCAATGATAGATTTACTTCCTTGCCTCGTATTTGAAATCTTAGTCCGAATCTCATAAATTTGAGTAGCTTCCTTCACCTTTAAGTAGGTTTGATGCACTGTATCCCAAATCTCCTCAGCCAAAGACAGGAACAAACATGTTCGACTAACTTCAGGAGCCATAGACTGCCACAGTCAAGACATAACTATTGAATCCGCTTTATCCCAAGCATCAAACTTTAGAACCCCGGACTTAGGACCAGTCCCAAGCAAATGATTCAGCTTTCTACGGCCCTTAAAGAAAGTGCGAACATATTGAGACCAAGGATGCTAAAGGAAGAAGATGAAGAGGAACTAATGTTTTCAAAAGCATTTTTTTGTCTCTGACATGGCTGTAATAGATTCTAACCTAGAAGAAAAATGAAGAATACAAGAGCACACCCTGGAATTGAAGAATAGAGCTCATGATGAGCACAGCTGCGGAAACTCCACGAGATGCACTGTCACACGCCAGAAAAACAATACTATGCAAATTCCAACAACCGGCACGTGGCGACATGTGAGATAGAGGATCATAGCCGAACTTTGGGGATCGGCTGATCAGCGATAGGTGGTCATGGTGGGCTAGCACATGTTGACAATGGAGCTCCAGCGATGATGGGTCTAATGAATAGTAACCTTAACTAACACACAGTAAGGCTAAAAAAGAAGAAAGCCTTGGAAAAATTCAGAGTCCAACTATGAGACCATGAGAGAGAAACAACAACAACAAGTCTTTATCCCACTAGGTGGGTTCGGCTACATGAATTGCAAGATGCCATTGTGCTCTATCATTTATCAAGCTTTTAGGAATATTATTAATTAAAAGATCGCGTTCAACAACTTCTAAGAGTGTTCTTTGGTTATTATTCTCAAAATTGCAATAGGTACAGAGGAATATATACAAGAGAACACCAAACAGATAATAAATGTAACCCCCAACTACCAACCAATACTAATTACAACAAGTACAATATATTCTAACACTCAACAACCATAGCCCTCATTTTCTTATTTCAATGTACACAACACATTAGTCCTAATTTCAATGTACAAAACACATTAGTCCAGCTCAACATTTTTACTTGAATTCCCTTTTCAATTAACTATACCATGAAAAGTGGCTCAGTTGAAAACATCAAGTAATCCAGGTGCAAACAGATCACATAACAGGATTTCCATGAAGTGAAAACCTAGTGAATACATAAAAATTACCTTCTATTAGTCTAGATATCATAGCAGAACTTTCATTAAGTGATGGTTGCAAGAGTGGCCCTATCACAAATGCTGGGTTGAGAACAACCAGGTCAATATTGTTTTCTTTCACAAATTTCCAGGCAGCTTCTTCAGCCAAAGTCTTGGAAAGATTATACCAGAGCTGAAAGAACAGAATATAAAGCAGTAGGAAACTTGAAGCAGAATTTAAAATACTAAATGGTTACAAACTGGTGTTATAACAATTGGAAACATAAGATATAATTCTCAAACAGAAGAGTCATAGGATACTTTCTTATTTTTATTTTTGGATTCAAAATGAAGTTTAGTTTGAGCTAAAACTTCATTCTAATATTTTTCCTTATAGTATATCCTTAATTATTCATAGCACTTAATGCACTTGTTTTGCTAAGGCCGTAAAATGATATTGCATCTAGCACATAGCATAGCATGAGCTACATGGAAATTTAGCAACACTTTTAAGAGATTCAAAATATAATAGATAGTAAATATTTTATATATATATATATATATAGAGAGAGAGAGAGAGAGAAACCAAAATGACATTTAGAAAAGCCTCATAACAACATGATGATCATATATAAATCACAACATCAAGTATTGGAATCATAAAAGGAATCAACATTTCACAATGTTTTTAAGTATGGGCTTTTGTCCTAAAGATAAATAAACTAATTCTTTTTCTTCATCAAATCTAACATCATCCTAGCCACCATCATTGAGCAATCCTTCAATTTACTCTTCATTTTTTGAGCTTCCCATTTTCTCATCATCATTAGAGAATGTCTTTTTCTTGTGCTTCTGACATAATCACTGAATGCTGAATCATCCAATAATGAAAAATTGCTAAAATAATGTGTCTTATTAGTACCAGAAGCATGACCTATAGCTATATAATTGTATACCTTGTAGCACGGGAGACATAAGAAAGTTGCAATACTAAATAGGGCCAGAGTAACTGCCAAACTACTCTTATTTATCTCTCTCTACAAGAAATGCAATTTCTTTATTTTTTAGTTCAAATGTGTCCCAAAACTCAACAGAAAAGAAGCAACCACTGTCCACGGACTCCACTTACCTGATTAATAAATTATGAAATAATACTGTTCTGATGAGCCAACGTGATGGCAAGAGAAAAACTAGATCTCCAAATCCAAGCAGAATTGACAGCTACTATATATCAAATAAGCAACTTGAATGAATTACAAACTTCAGTTGTGCCAATAATATATTGGCACTTACCTTCATATCCCGACAAATATCTGGACTAGAAAACCATGTCTCATCAACTACAACATCAGGAGTTAGAGGTTTTCCATTACGTATAACTGCTGCAAAGGAAGATGTTAAAACAACTCGTTTCACATTTGAAGATTTTGCACACGACCTAAGAACATTGAGAGTTCCCTTGAGCGCCGGGTCAATAAGTTCAGTCTAAAATGAGGATAGAGTTGGTAAATGAAGCAATAATCAAAATAAAGAGACTCATAGTTGGCCTGAGATGTAAAGGCCTAAGCTATAGCCATTTCTCTGGTTCAGAAATGTGTTACTTCAACTAAATAGGCAAAGGAAAGTAAGCAATATGCCTGTCTTCAATTTTCCACCCTGTTAACCACTACTCAAAAGATAACAGTTATCTGGGCATGATTCTCTATTCTCAACAGTAATTTTTGCATGGCTTCCACAAGATTTGTGATATTTTGAATCTACAAGGAAATGGTGAACTCATTTGACAATAAGAACTTGATTGGTTGTCATTTGCCAAAGGCAGAGAAAGGAGCAAGATTATGGAAAAGTTCAACATGGTAATCAATATGCAATTTAAAAATTAATTGCCTGCATTTACGACAAAATGAAATATTAAACGTTTTGCCCTTCTAGCATGGGGCCTTGTGATTTCTAAGAAGGAATAGCTTCTTAATTTCTCAAGCAACGATGCAAAAGAAGACAATTTCACTGTAATACATCTCCCAAGCTAAATAGATTCTTCAAACGATTTAAAATTTAGGAAATAAAATGCTTCGCTGTAGGAAGAGCACATCCAATTATCTTTCAACAATTAGAAAATCATATAAACCTGCGGATCAATGGCATCAAAATAACAGGGAGATGCGGTATGAAATACACCCTCACACTCCTCAACGGCTTGGTCAAAGGAACCTTCTTCCTGGAGATCTGCTTTAATCAGGCGCAATCTCTCCTTTGCACCATCAAGCTTAAGCAAGTGATCTACCTTTCTTAAATCATCTGTAACAAGTTACAAAACATAACAAATTGGTAACTCAAGATGATACACCATATAAAAACAACAAAATATAATTGATTAACTTTGAATAATAGAGAAACTTCAAATACACGACAAACATAACAAAGAAGCAAAGTCAGAGCCATAGACTATTTTCACTTAACAAGCCAAAATTGAAGGCATGAAGAGAATAAGAGACGCATGTAGCAATACGCAGTTCTGTCATTTCAGACCATATTTATGTAGACGTGGATAGTTTAAATAGTTATTGTCTATTCTGTCTCCTATTTATAGTTCCTATCATCGCAAACCAAAAGAATTTTATATCCATCGCCTCCTAACTATAAAGCAAAATGAAAAATGGGTTTGCTGAAAATCTGAATCAAGAAAAAAAAGAAAGAAAGAAAACAAAATCAGAGAGAACAAAGCAAGGGTACACAGTTTCCATCAATTTATGGTTGATTAGACGGAACGATAGTAAGATGTGCTCACTGGGGTCACGAACAGTGCCCTTGACAGTATAACCACGAAGAAGAAGGAACTTGACGAGCCATGAAGCAATATAGCCAGAAGCACCGGTGACACACACCACCTTTCCTTCACCAACGTAGCTGCCCATTCTCTCTCGATCTTCCAAATAATCCATACTCTAGCTCTGCTGCCTCAATTCTGGTTAAGTCAAACATTCACCCGGTTAGATCATGAAAAACATAAAAGAAGAGGCTTTTAAAACATTACTTTTAAATCAAATTTAAATGGAAGAATGGTATATAAATCTCAAAAAAATCAATTAATTTAAATTAAATTTTAAATATTAATTTTAAAATTTTAAAAATTTAAAAATTCAACTTCTAATTTTACAATTTTATTATGATAGATTTTAATTTATTTTTTAATTTTAATATAATTAAAAAATAAATAAATTTGTTTTCTATATTAAAATTTACAACACAAGTTGTAAATTTATCAAACAAAGTTATAAAATTAAAAGCTAAATTTATAAATTTTTGAAGTTTTACATTTAAGACTTAATTTAAATTAATTGATCTACTTAAAACCTCTTTATCATTTTTTCAATTTAAATTTATTGTCTCTTCATTTTCATGTATTTAACGGTATTGTTTTACTTTGGTCCATATTTCTCCATTGTAGAAAAATTGTCTCAATCATTCAAAATTTGAAAAGAAGAATTGAAATTTATAAAGGTTGCTTGCAGCTAGAATCTTAATCAACAATTTATTACTCTCATTAAAGACTTGCAAAGTTCTATTGCTGAGCATAGGAACTTCAAGCTTATCCAGATACATGGCAGATCCAAATCTGCAAATTCCAGAAAATTGTTATGTGGACATCTCTCTCAATGTTTAAAACCTTCAACTACTTCCATTTTCACTTCGTCCTCTGTTTCATTGGAATTATTCTTGGCAATATGCATCAGAAGCTTGCTCTTTTGTATATCCTAGACGAATCAGTATAGTTATACCTTGCACTTGGGAAAGCTGGTTGTGAAGTTCAACAATGGCCATTTCTTCTCTCATGAAAGTTAATGCCCAATAGTCCAAGATATTGAAAATCTCCTAAATAGGTTTTATAGTTATCCGTATTTTCGAAGTGTGACTTTGTTGGTAAGTCATCATTTAATTTCATTTAATCTTCTTTGTTTGTCTTTAACATTATGACTGTTTTTTTTTTTTTTTGAGAATTTGATTTAAGGACTTGACAAGAAACATGTTTTCTGGTGGGTTCTTAAAGATTCTAAAACTTTAGTTTAGTTTTTAGGGATTAAATTGAAAATAAGTTGAATATAAAAAAATGAAAATACCTTTAGTTCAAATATTAAAAAAAAAAACCACCAGCTACAGTTGCTGGAGTACCACTGTTGATAACCAAAGTCTTGTCAACGATGATAGCCATTGAACCTCCATCGTTAGAGCTCTAACCGCCAACTAGACCACTACTGATGGTGGTTGGAGAATTATGAAAAATTAAATTAAATTATCTAAAGGTGGCCAAAGTGGAAGTAGAACCCATGACCCCTTGGTTCACTAAAAAGCTTTAGACCTCCAAACCATCCAACCCATTTAATTATATAATGTATAAAATTATATATATAATAAACCTTATTTCCAAACCATTTGATTATTATGTTACTTATTAATTGCATAACTTTACTTGTTAATATCTTAATGCTATGTTTGGATACACATGGATATGGATTTGGATTTGAGCCAAATACATTGTTTGGATAATTAAAAATGTATGGGATTTGAATTTAACCCAAATTCAAGTTCAAGTTCTACCTTAATCTCTTTGTAATTTAAAATTCTTTCTAAACCCTTATTACTTCAAATCCTAAGTCAAACTCTTTTGTAATTAGACCTAAATGTGTGAAGGCTTAATCAACCTACCAACAGTAATTGAATTGAACTGCCAAAGTTGATGGAAACAAGCTGCCATTGATGATCGAGACTAGACCAACGACTTTCATTGGGTCCAGACCGACTGCGACGATCGAGACTAGACGGTCGACTTCCACTAGCACTATATCAATGGCAACGACAGGGATTGAACGGTCGACTTCTAATGAGACCGGACTGACAATGGCAATTGAGACTAGACAAACAATGACGATTGGGACTTAACCGACAGTGAAAAAGGGACCGGACGGCCAACTTCCACAGAGATCAGACTGACGACGATGACCGAGACCAGATTGCTAACTTCTACTAGCACAAACTGATGATAACAACTAGGATCAAATGTCTGACTTCTACTAGCACCATATCAATGACGACAGGGATTGAATGGCTGACTTTCACTAGGATCAAACTGACAGTGATGATTGGGACAAGATAGTCGACTTCTACTAAGACCAGACTGATGGCGATGACGAGAACTAGAAGTCCAACTTCCATCAAGTGAGGATCGAATGGCCACTATCTGTCACCATCGCCTTCATTTTGGTCGCTGTCACCATCATTGTTGATACAGTTCAGTGCTGGAAGAAGTCGACCGTTTGGTCCCTATCTTCGTAGTCGATCCAGTATAGGTGGAATTCATCCATTCGATCCTTACTGTTGGCACCAGTTTGATACCAGTAGAAGTCGGTCGTGTGGTCCCATCGTCATCGTCGGGCAGTCCTAGTGGAATCAGTTATTCGATCTTTGTTGTAGCCGTCAATTCAATCTTGATGAAAGTCGGTCGTTCGATCCTCATTGTCGCTGTCAGTTCGATCCTGGTGGTAGTCAATCTTCCTGTCCCCATAGTAGCTGTTAGTACGGTCCCCATGGGAGTTGGTTGTTTAGTCCCCATCGTCGCCGTCAGTCTAGCGTCGATGGAAGTTGACCGTCCAAGTCATCCTCGTCCCACAATCCCAGTCAGCTTTATTTGTATGATCTCATTGGAAGTTGGCCATTCAGAATTGTTGAGTTTGACCAATCTTTTAATTTCTTTTAAATTTAAACATAGAATTTAAAATTTAAAATTTTACTTTAGATCCAAACAAAAGATTTTAACATTGTAATTTAAAAATTTTTATATCATCTGAATAAAAAATTTAGAATCTATTAATTTCAAAACTGAGATTCAAATATCTAAATCCAAATTCCCAATTTAAAACCACCTATCTAAACATAACTTGCTAGAACTTGTTAATTACTTAACTTTTCTTGTTAATTCCATGACTCCTGCAACAAAACTAAACTATTCATTAATCGCATAATTATACTTATTGATACCTTAATAGGACTTGTCAATTACTTAACTTTCCTTATTAAGTTTGTAACTTTCACAATAAAATTATATTACTTGTTAATCACATAATTGTACTTGTTAATACCTCAACATGACTTGTTAATTACTTGAATTTACTTATCAAATCCATTACTCCTTCAACCGAATTGTGTTACTTATTAACCATGTAACTTTACTTGTTAATTACGCAATAACACTTGTTAATTCCTTAAAAATACTGGTTAATTATATATTATCACTTGTTAAATGAACATATAATTTACATAAAAAATTGAGTTTGTCAGATAACAAAAGCAATGATAGTCATGTTTCCCTTATATTCTCAATTATATAAGCATACACACACACACACACACACACATCTATAGAGAGAGAAATACCTTAAAAAAATATAATATTAATAATTAAACTTGAAGAAATGACAAGCTATATTAGGCTTTTAACAAGTATACTTCTTATCATAATGCTCAAAAGGTTTGAAAACAAGATTTATTATGCAAATAATTTTGAGGGAGTCATGGAATTAAAGTAAAGTTGTAGTACTAACAAGTCAAGTTGTGCAATTAATAAGTATTATTGCATAATTAAAAGGTTAGGGTCCATTTTGCACATTTTAAAAGTTTAGGGTTTAAGGCATTTTTTTCGCAATACTTCAATGTTCACTTTGCTCATTAACCTTTTTATCTAAAATGAAAATTAGTTTGTCAATCCTTATAACTTCATCAAATTTTGAATCAAGCTATTGGTTTTTTTTTTAATTGGTATTTATACACATGCAATGACCTCCCAAATAATTTTATTATGAAAGAAAAACTAAATGATTTTGAAATGCAAGATCAATGGATTTAAATAAAATTAAATTAGGTTTCAAAAAGAGTAATCCACTCTTGATATTTTATTTTAAAAAAAGTCAACTCTCAAAGTTGCTAATTGCTGCCGCCAGTAGCTAATTAAATAATTAAAGGTGATCAAGGAGGATTTGAACACAAGGTTCCTTGGCTACCCAAAAAATGAATGACAATCAAGCTCCCAAGCAATCAAATCTTGTATTTTAATTTTATTTTATTTTAAAAATATCAAGGGTAATTTAGTCTTTTTGCAACCTATTTTAATTCCATTTAGACTCCTTGATCTTATAGAGTAATTTTAAAATCATTTGGTTCTTTTTCATAATCAATTTACTTGGGAGGCCCTTGGATGCAATTTTCCCTACTTATAATTTACACGATCAAAAATTTTAGTCTCACGTTTATGAATCTTCCAAACACTATTAGTTTATGTTAGTAAAATATGATGTGACATTAAATAAGCCTAGTTTAGCAGACAAAGGTTACCATGTATATGTTGATGTTTTGACAATGAATGAGGAGGCCGAGGTTGAAGAGTAATTTTATCTAGCTAAACACTGATTTTTCTCTTTTCATAATAATACTCCTAGTTCAAAGCTTTTTATAGTTTATGAAACATGGATATTTCAAATTATCCCATGTATCCATATTAATATCATATCCAATATCAATACTCACCAATGCTTCTTCGGTACATATCCGTGAAGTGTCAAAATATTATTTTTTAACTTAAAAAAATAATTTTCAATATGTATCAAATACTTTTAGATTGTCTTGGTAGTGAATAGGATGACCTTGATGGCGCTAGAATTTTGATAAATGGGATGACTTTGATGATGCTGACATTTTGAAAGTAGCAAACTTATTTTTGGATAAACCAAATGTTGAAGCTATTATACCTATTAATATCATACTTATTAATAGAGACCAAACTTATCTGGTGATATTCGAGGAGGAGAAAATATTGACATCATACCAATTAATAGAGACTATGTGACATGTAATTAGGTATAAATTAAAAAAAATATAATTAATAATTATATTTTGCTTGACATTACTATGAAGGACTATATATGACAACTGGATCCTTTATGAATCCTCC